CTTCACCCTCTGCGTGGGTCTCCACCTGACGAGGTATCACCAGCGGATTCTTCAAGCTGTAGTTCCTGAGCGGGAGGGTGCTGCAGTCACATTTCCAACGGTTCCCAGACAGCAAAAGTTTTTCCATGCTCTCTGGGTACTCAGGGACCATGCCTGTCAAGGCGTTATCTCTCAGGTCCAGGTAGCGCAGCCTCGGAAGCAGTTGTTTTGTGCCATTCTGCAAAAACTGTCGACAGTCATTGTTGGACAACAGCAAGTACTCCAAGTTTTTGAGGCCAGAGAATGTGTTGGTTGTGAGGACATCCAACTTGTTAAAACTCAAGTCCAGTCCCAGTAAGGCCACCAGATCAACGAAGCTTTGGCGTTCCACCACAGAGATGTTGTTATGCTGCAGGAAAAGCCTCCTCAGTCCAGAGAGTCCTGTGAAAGCTTGAGATGTGATCCTCGTTAGACAGCCTCTGTCCAGATGAAGGCTATGAAGCTTTGACAGGCCTTTGAATACTTGGTCAGGCAGACTGTGAAAGCAGCTTCCAGACAGGTTGATGACAGCCACATGAGACAGGCCCATGAAACTACCCACTTGGGCCTCCTGCACTTGGTTGTGTTCTAGCTCTAAGACCTCCAGATGACCAAGCCCTTCAAAGATCCTCTCCCCCAGGGCTCGGATCCTGTTGTAACTGAGCCGTAGTTCCTCCAAGTACTGCAAGTCACGGAAGGTCCGGGGCCTAACTCCAGTTATGGAGTTGTTGGAGAGACGTAGCACATGGAGACTGTGCAGGCCCAAGAAAGTGTCGTCATGCATAGTAGTCAGTCTGTTGTTTGTCAGATCCAACCATCTAAGCGACTTCATGCCTGCAAATGCTCTTGGAACCACGGTCACAATGTGATTCTGGGCCAGGTACAGCTTATGCAGTTTAGTGAGTTTAACAAACACATTAGCCTTGATGACCTTAAGGTAATTTCCAGTTAGATCCAACTCTTTAAGCTCAACAAGGTTCTGGAAGAGCTGTGGCTGCAAGTAAGCGAGTCTGTTCCCTGCAAGAATAAGCTCTCGTAGACCTTGCAGGTCATGGAAAGCTGTTTCGGGTAAGACGGCTATCGAGTTCCACCCAAGGTTGAGAAGCCACATGTGTGAGAGTCCTGAAAACAGCCGTTCCTCAATACGAGTAAGCTGGTTGTTGTGCAGACTAAGTGATGCAAGGTTAGGTGTATTTTGGAAAAGTGTACCTGGTAACATGCGTAGCGAATTTCGCTCTAGGTGGATGTGTGCTAGCGACCTAAGTCCTTTGAATGCTTGAGGGTCAAGTGCTACCAGCTGGCCACTCTGCAGATTCAAAAAGTTCAGGTTGGCAAGATCCTTAAAGGACACGGCAGACAGTGAGGTGAACAAGTTGCCATCCAGCCAGAGAGAGTGAGTGGATGTTGGCATGTCAGGCGGGACTTGGGTGAAGTTCCGAGCGCTGCAATACATGTTGAGCTCCGAGCTGTAGTCATCGTGCAGGCAGGCGCATCCTTTAGAACATGGGATAGGCTCTTCAGTCGCCTTCTCCCCAGCTGTGTCTGGGTCGGGCAACACAAGTGATATTCCCAGTACCCACAGCACCAACAGCACAATGGTTTGCATACCAGCTGTGGATAGAACATTGAAATGTTAGGATATTAATTCTCAGTAAATTCACAACAGAATACAGAGTTCTATTTGCATAATAGCAGTATTTTGAAGGAAATGCTTCCATGCTTTGAGGTTTAAATTAAATTGTTTACCTTAAATGCGGGAGGTCTTGATTTAAGGTGGACAGGCTGTGAAATGCAGAATGACTGAACCTTGTGCAATTGTTTGTATACGAATGGAAAGTCTGACAGGCCTTTGAGTCAGGTGCACAATTAACCCATTCATCTCCATTGTGCTTTATGTTGCAAATATAATTTTTTTTCTAAGTTTCCTCATATTCCTAGACAATAATTAGCTTGCACTCACTAATATCAACTTTGATAATGTCAAATCTATAACCTGATATTTTTCTCCACCAGTTAGTAAAATATAAAAACTATTTTTTATTGCCTCCTAGTAAGATGTTAATTTTTACTCATAAATAAAATCTCCTTTTATGTGTACATGTAACCTGTTTATTTTTAATCCATGTCACACATACAGTATCATGAACCTAATAAGGTATTACATCTATGTGGCCTTTGGTGTTTACTGAAGCCGGGGTCCTGTCACTGAGTGCATTAACTGTAGATTTTGACCGAGATACAATGGAAACGAGATAAAATGAACTCAGTGCACCTTGACTGAACTTATGACTTTTTCCTTTTTGCTCATACATATCCTTTTAATAAAGGATTATTTGATATGGTTTCATTTAAGACAATTTAGGAGTTTACCTCATTAAATATCGATTTAAGCACCTCCACCAATCCTTGTCAGAACCATATTATTTTTAAATAAATAAAGTGCATGAGCTTGTGTGTATGACAACGACAGCTGTATGTAAGATACTTTAAAAAAAGGCTGGTGTCCTTTCTTTTTTATTCACTGTGCAGGATGTGGCTAGTTCCAGAGGTCGATCATTGTAATGACTAACTTTCTATTTACCCCTTTTCTTGGTATCTGGGTCCTTTTCGACAACCATGAACTGGCCATGCTCTAAAGGACAACCAAAACCAGATAACGTTGTGTGCTTGCACATGAATTTCATTAATTAGCTCACTAACACTGGATTATAACAGTATGAGGAAAATGAATCCTACTGGACTTGTCCTCTGTTTGTTTGTCTGCCATTCAATTCTAATCCAGATGAAGCAAATAAGTAAACCAACTGAAAGCACAGCACAACCTTAATATAATCCTATTATTTAATGGTTAAGATAACAGTTCTTGGTTTTATATTTCGATTTGTTCCACACGGATAAAACATTTTTTTGAAATAAATATATCTATCTATATATATAATGAAGATTTATTTTTATTTATGAAACAAATGTATAAATATAGTTAAAAATACAATTAATATTGCACAATATTTTTTCATTACATTCATTTATTTGATATTTTCATCCTTTTATACTCTCTTTTCCACGACTTAGTCAAGTTTTAATTTTACTTGCCAGTAGAGGGCACTGCTGGCATGTCGTGTCTAAAGGAAACTGTTCATCGCTGCACAGAGAAGAAGCAGGGGGGCTTTTTGTGTCATTTGTTTTTGCAGATTTTGTAAAGAGTTCATTCTTGCCAGGTGATACTTGGAGCCAAAGTTCACATATTGCTTGATGTCTTGGGTTACTGCATACAGGTTGCACTGTATCAACAATGAAAGGAAGTGTTGCCTTGTTTTTGCATTGAATGAATAGCAAATCATTTTACAAACTCAGACACACTCAGCCATACTGACTAGTTGTCTTAGTGAGTTGTCTCATGATTGTTGCTCCCCTGACAAACACCTCTAATTGGCTCATTCCCCAGCACTCAACCAGACACAAAAGGTTTGGAGGTTTGTCAGTTGCTGTGCAGTTGCTTCCTGAGTGGAGGAGAGGAGTCATAATAGTAAGTGGCAGAGCCGGCTGCTGTGACTGAAAATGCTTGCCTGGGCTGTGCCTCACTTCTGGAGGGATAATTTTCTCAAATAATCCTGAATAAATTGGGTGCTTTCCTTAGCAGTGGTGAGCAGGCCTGAGAGGCATGATGTCAATCTAAATTGGACGGATGCATACTGATCAGTGTTGAAACCCACTGATACTGCCTTCACTCTACCACTCTGCAGATAAGTGCCAGAGGACCCCTGCCACAGCAGACCAGGACATTAAAAGAAGGTTCCATTAAAACTTAATCTGTTATTAATGGGCCCCCAGAGTAATAAGGTTGCGGCTTTGTCCGACCCGTTTCCATCACTTAGTGCATCTCTTGTATTGACACATATTTTAATCTTTGTGTAATTGTTATATCAGAAATCTAGCAAGTTTGTTTAAATGGACGATACACATTAATTAGCATGTACATTTACCAGATTTAGCCATGCAGGCTCATTTTCATTTGTATTTCCTGACTGGTTGATGGTAAAAAATATAAATAAAGAAAACCCAAAACAGAATAACATAAAAACACATCTGTAAAAACAAAAGGTACACGAACAGACACAAATAATTAATTAATAAATCAAGGACACAACTTAATGACATGAAAATAAGAGAGTCATAAAAATCCACTGTCCCTGCAAAAGTAATAAAGTACAAAAAACTAACTCAGGGATATTAAGAAAAAGCATATAAACGTTTAAACAAAACAACACACACACTCTTATACTATATCTTAGTGAGGACAGTCCCTCACCTTAACTTGGCCAAATGTCCTCACTTTTCCACAATGTCCTCACTCAGTAAAGTCTATGATCACACACAGTGAAGTTAAACAGTAATAGTTGTGTAAGTGTATAATGTTTTTATCTGTGTATGCATTACTTAAACGCAGACTGGTTCTTCTGCAGCTAAAACTTTATCGTCCACAAGGGAAAATCTTTCTCACGGCCAAGTAATGGAGAACACGGGCTTGAACATAAAACATAGGTCATGTAGAATTACTTATGACTCATGACCTTCTCTGTTTGTTGTGTGTTGTTGTTTAGGCTGCTATCCAGGAATTTGTGCACAATTTACGGTCAATTCACCTTTGAAACCACACAACCCCTCCATCTATCTTCTCAGACAAAACACAGCATTACAAAACAGTACTTAAAACAAATAGATCTACTGAAGTACTTTATTTCTACGAAGCATTATATACAGACAACTATGAGAAAACTATACCATAGTACAATCCTAAGTTAAGCTCAGATAAGTAAAGCAACAGATAACTCCTGTTGGTCTCATCTGTTGCACTTAGCATGGTGGATGTGGTTGTATGGGAGGCAGACAAAGGGGAGACTTTGTTTTCCCTGGTCTATTGCTTCGACACATGTCACTAACAAAACTAAGTGTGGAGGCTTAATTTACTAAATGGTTTTCTCTGTCCCTACAGGGAGAGAGAAGAACAATCCAGCTTCCCCAGCCAAGAAGGGTAAGTTTAACAGACTGAAATTGTCCTTGCAAAGAACAACAAAACTTAATACTGAATTAAATTGGGCTCAGTCAACGCTGCCATCATCTGGCAGATATTTGGACTGACAGCAAATCAAGAGAAACATGTCAAGTCTGATAACGACGGTTTCAAAACAGGGCTGTTCTGTTGCCTCTCACCCGTCGAGGTGATTGTGGGTCAGCGCTGCTCTGAACCTCAGTGCCACCACGATCCTTTGTACTGTCAAAGACCCTCAGCACCCCTGCAGCGGCTATTAATACCCCTCAGAGCTCGCAGTCAACTCGCCACTTTCCAGGAAGAGAGAGAATCTGACGGCTTTGTCTTGACATCTGGAAGGTGCCGGATTTCAGTCTCAGTCGGTGAGGATCATTATGACGAGAGTAGACCATATGATTTTTCCAGGTGAATGTGTGAGGCACACTACAGTCCATAACATTAAAACATGTAACACACAAACATACAAATATATGGTTAATAAAGAAAAAATACCTCTGAGACACAGTATTGTGTTTAAACATGATCCGGAAACATAATGAGCGTCTTAAGGCTAATGCAATGATGATAATTTGTATACCAACACTTGTTTACATTTACTTCAGGGATTTTCTCTTAAAATTAAAAATTCTGAGATCAAAATAAATAATAAAAATAAAAGATGTACAGACCGAAATCTCTTGTCGGTCTGTCTGCTTCACACTAGAAATGTGTATCGTTAAGGCTCCAAGGAAGTGCAGTGTTGATGTGTTGTTGGTGGGATTTGGACATGTGATATTAATATCAATACATATAAACTGACACAGCGACCAGCGCTCTGTAGCAATGGCGGCTGGCATTCATCAGTATACTGTAAGTGGCGTTTTCATAACAACAGCAACAACAACTTACTCTGCTCAGGGTTCTGGGAACAGAGCTGAGCTTCATGGAACAGGAGAACAGCTCTTAGATCTTCAGCACTATTCCTTTATCTGGGATTCTTTTAGTGACTTTATCTGGTTGTCTTGTTTATGTAGACATTATTGTAAATTTAAATTCTAAAAGTTTGGAATTTGCAAATCAGCATGCTATAGAAACTTAACTGGTTTGTGTATATATACTCATTGAGCAACCAGCCTAATTTGTACTATGTATATAGGCTGTCTTTTTTTTTCATTCCATTCTGTAAACGCCTGAAAGGAGGTCTTTGGTCTTTGTCGAGTAGATTATCCAAATATAGACAGACTAGGTTACTACTGCATGTGTTATGCTTTTTGTACATTTCTTGTTCTTCTCTGACTGTTAAATTAGAAGAAGTTTTCAGTTACATGAGTCAATAGTGACCAAACTTTCTTCATATGAGTGTCCTTTTTATTCAGTTTCTCAGTTTGCAATGCCGACTGTAGCAAACTCCTGTAGCTGCCAGTTTGATGACTGTCACAGAAAATCTTTTTCATATTTAGGTTCATTCTTCCTCAGTTGGAACTAATTTTCTCCTGTGAATTCCCAACATATTCACGAAGACTAACAATCAAACTTTTGACTTTGCAGAACAACCTTGAAACAAACCCTGACAATTTCACCTTCCAAAGCCTGGAACAGGTGAGAAACACTTCACGCACTCAAACACACACCAAAGTCCGACTGAAGTGGCTGCCAGGCTTGGATCCAATTCACAGGAAGAGAGAAGAGCAGCAACGAATCCCAGAGGAAACTCAGAAAACCCATAACCTCCTTTAGATCTCTCATTCATTTATTCTTTCCTTCATACTGTATACGTCAAGTGGCCTTAGCATGACAAACTTCAAGTGAAGGACGCAATTAGTGGTTTATTTATTCTGTGCTATACCTCTACTTTCTGATTGTATGTCATTTTTTATTCATGTGAGAAACGCAGACCCACAGAGGTAGTTTGAGAAAACACGAGTGCTGTGTATGAAACTCACCGGTCCTTTCAGATGCCTCGCTCTTCATCTGCATCTCATTTCAATGAGGAGAATTTCATTACCCCTGCAGCTGTGTCCAGGTGAAAAAAAATGGGATTCAATTTTGTAGGCAGTGTCGTGATTTTAAGCCGTTTCATACAATCCCCAAATACTGAGTTTTTTAAAAGATCCCAGTCTTTTTAATCACAGCTTGAATAGTATAATTCGTTGGGTGTCGCCTTATAATCTGCAAAAGAATGGACTGCTCTGCTTCTATCTGACAATTTAGTTCCTCTACTTTGTGTTTAGAGTCCAGTCTTGGCTGGGAAATGGCTCTCTGAGATTTTTGTATAGTTTCGAAAAGCAATAACAGGTTGTCTTTCCAAACGACAGTGGAGATTCTCTAGTTTTCATGCCTCCGTGCCGCTAACAGCCAGGGGCCAGAGGCATTATGATTTCAGTTTGTAATTCTGTCCATCCCATTCTTGTGTATTTCTTCAAATTTCCTACAAGCGTTCAGGATGAACCGATTCGATTTTGTTGGCCTTGATGGAATTTCTTCAGATTTGGTACAAATGAATCACAGATGAACGGTTTAGAATGTAGTTGTCAAAGGTCAATGTAGCTGTGACCTTACAAAATGTGTTTTTGTTCTTTGAAATGCAACAGCTTAGAAACACCTTAAAGGATTTTAAAGTAATCTCATTACATCCGGCATCTTTCAGTAGCTCAACAATGCAACAGTTTGTTTCCATGGATCTGCATGACAAAATATCTGCTTCAGCTCTCAAGCAAAGACAGTTTTAAGATTCCCTGGAAAAAATAAAGTGAATGTAGCATTTGAAAGCTGAAGGAGGATTTATTCACTATAAACATACTGTTCTATTTTTTTGTCCAATTTCCTTTTCTTCAGAGGAGGTTACTCTATGGAGCCAAATCTGATGGAACAGAACAGGTCCAGACAAAAAATTTGAAACAAAAAAATATGATATGAAAGCGAAAAAAAAATCTGAATGAAAACAATGTTATTTGAAATGGAAGAAAAAATATCTGACTTTGAAAACATCAAATCTGCAACTGAAAAAAACAAGAGCT